GGAAAAGGGGGTGCAATAGATGCTGCGTAAATTTGCTTTTCAATAAAAGAATTCATGCACAAGCAACCGTTGCTGCCTCCATCACGCCGTGGGGGACACGTGGTGGAAGATCTCGCTTGCATCGGCCAAAATCTCAGTCTTATCTTCTCATTCCACGTCTTCCGCCTATATATTTACTACTTGTTTTCATTGAGTAGTTATAATGTTTGTGTTATAACTTTTGTACACTAGCAATCTAAGCGCGTGCCAGTCTTTTAAAGATCCTTTAATTCAGTCTAGTCGGTACCGCCGGATGAACCTGCTAAAATCGCTACTTTACGCAAAATGCTTATCTCAGCTTCGTCTCGGTCCCTTGGCTTTAGGTCCGACGGTGTTGTTGTGCCCTGTGGCCGACTCATTGAAGCCAAACTGCCCCAGCGAACGAGCCTTCTCTACAATGAGTACGTAGTCTACCGATACGACCAGGTTCGCCTCCGCTACCTTGTCCAACTGCGTTTCAGCTTCAAGTACTAACTTCCGCCTGGCTGAGGATGGTCCCAGAACAAACTGGCGGCATTTTTCACTCCCTGCTCCCCCATTTTATGGTTATTTTTGATATCAGCTTGTCACGTCTTGTTAGCGTCCTTTGTCGGAGATTGCAACTTGTTTCTTTTTATACAGATTCACCTTTTGCTCTTTGGTCTTTTTTGCTGAGTGAACGAGATTTTTGGGCAGCCCTCAATTTCCCCCATATGCGTTGCAAACGGCCTTGCCCGGGAAGGCGACGCCGTCCGTAGGAGTCGGTGGCAGGGCTCGTGAATGTAATGTAAACTTTCGGAAGAGAAGTGAGCAAGCAGGATTTCGCAAGTTTAGGCCAGTGCAGCGATTAGTAACAAAGTGTTTTTTCCGATCTTCCAACTACAGCAGGCTTTACAGTTCTCGCATGTGAGCTTTAACCTGTCGACTCGCTCTATAATGACAAACAACCATTGCACACTAACTGCTACCAAAATATTAAGTTGTCCCATATGTTCGTAAGTTCTTAGATATATCGTTCACACAATTAGTCCACTACGTACCTTCCTTCGTTGTTCATAACCTCCTCCCGACGTTCAGGTGGTTTTACAATTCCGTGCTTGAAGAAATCTGCGCGTTTGGATGTAGCAAAGTCATCCATACTATTTTGAAGACACGTGTTTTTATTCGAGGGTATATCGCAGGGGGTTAAATAAGTTGAACCCTATCAACTGCGATCTTCGGAGCATGGTTACTTAGTAGAGGAGAAGTTTTGGTAAAGGCCAGAGTAGAAGGAACAGTATATCGTGTACACATAGGAGGGGAGAATGGATGAAATAGATTTGACTTGGAGAGCATACAACCGGCCAGGAGAGCCAGTCGAGTCCAAGTGCTGGCTTGATAGCAGTCAGGCCAGTAGACAAAGAGAGCGTTCATTGGCTAGTTCGGCCTGTGATTGGTTGGACAGTGTGTGGGTAGACATCGACGTGGGTGGTCCGTGTCTCGCGCGCCAGTAAGTCTGGTGGCCGCCACGACCTTGAGGTCTAGACGGATTGAGGTCACGACAGGAAGGGCAGGCGTCGGGCAGGCAGTGACCACTACAGGTACTCTGGTTAAATTGTTTTTGAGTGACTGAAAAATAGTGGTAACCCGGTGGAGCAGGGTGCGAAGAATGCTGCCGTGCTCTTCAACTGTTGTGTTTAGTAAATTTTACCAGGTGGGGCCTGGCGTTGCAGTGCTGCAGCATGACACTATTTTGACGGTTTCGCTTAACTACCCTATCTAGGCGGCAAGGCTGTGGACTTTAAAGCTAAGCAATAATCATCTGGTTCCTGTCAAGCCATTCATAGCCCTCTCTCCGTATTTCGTCAGACAAGCGACATCCACTAGCGAGGATGAAGGTCAGGTTTGTTTTGAGGTGTTGCTTGCTTGTTGGGGTTTGGACGTTCTTTGTTGCATGTTCATGTACAAGCACGACTTTTCCTTGTCAGTAATAACCCGCTTCAGTGCTGGTTTACGTTGTTGACGGGCCAGGCGATGTGAGGCCAGTTAACAGGCAAAAACATGTGCACGGTGGATTTGGTTGTCCTGACTCAAAGCGCACGGAACTCAAGAAAACCAGCTGTTTGACCTTTCGCCATGGCTGATATACCGCATCCTCTCCCCCTGGCGTTAGGATAGATTCTCGTCGATTACTGACTTCCGTCCAGAAGGCGCAGCGTCTGTCCTACCGGAATCGTTTTCTTTGAGCTGGTCTTGTAGCAACAGAATCTTCTCCCTCAGCTCAGTTGATCCAACTGTGAAAAATTCGTGGCCTCGGTGGGAGTCAAACCCACACAGCAGAAGAAGGCTTTTGCGCAGCCAACGCTCTATCGTTGAGCTGCGAGGCCCACTGCGGATTAAGTCGATCCAAGTGTGATTAAATTCTCGGCTCGAAAAGATGCCGTCAGCTCTCATAGTGTAAAGGCCGTTGGAGTCTCGTGATCAAACCCACTGTCTGGCAGGGGAATCCACTGAACACGAAAACAACCGAATGAATAACGCTCACCTCGACGGATAAAGCGCATATTAATACCAGTCAATAGAACAGAGAGAAAATTCAAAG